TGATAAATGCTTTGTAATTACCTGCAGAAGTCTGAAGGGTCCACTGAAGGCTATGTGGAATGACAGCATCAGTTTTTATTGCAGGTTACCACTGTGTAAATGGCATTATCAAGGCTGTAGCTAGTTGGGGGGAGGGATTAATTTCAGCAAGACTGGAGTCAAGGAAACCAGCTAAGAGGCTGCTGCAATAATCCGGGCAAGAAATGATGAGACTTAAACTATACGGCAGGTGGTGGTGGGATTGAGAGAAGTGAAAAATTAACTGCTGCATATGCATCTGGTGACCCGGATCACCATTTGGCTGTGGGAGTTGACGGAAGGACTCACAAAGGACTCCCACGTTTCAGGCTTGGATGACATTCTCTAAGGCAGGATAGGGAAAAGGAGGCATTCCAAAATCTCAAGTGCCTGCATGCATCCAAGAGGAAATGCCCAGGAAGCAGTCCATTGGAACTCAGGAAGAGCTGGATTGCAGAGACCTCAAACTCGGCAGCAAAGAGAATAGTTGAAGTCAAGGAAGTTGATGACAGGTTTGCTTTTTTCCTCTTTTTCAATGACCAGGCAGTTGAAGCTCTTCTACCCCAGACTAGAACACATCACCTAATGCAGTTCTGAGCATTAAAAGGAAATCACACTGAAGAGTTCAACCCTGAAGTTAACTGCAAAGTTTGCTGCAGATGGCTGATGTTTCAAAGGTAGAATCTGTTTTCTAAGTGATCTGGGTAAAAACATAAGCACAAGTCCCTGGTGCCACATTTCCCATCATGTATCACAGAATTGCCAGTGATAGGCCCTTCCTTTGGCTCCTGGGGACTTAATTTCCCTGGGGAACTATTGTGGTTATTCAACTTTAAGACCTTGCAGGAAGAACAACAGTTATTTCTCTCTGGGGTCTTACTCAGAGCAAGCAACATGGAAGTAAATAGTCACTAAGGAGGAACAAGAAGAAATAAACAAGCTTTTAGCCAAATGTATGAACAATTCACATTTTTAAAAATGGCCAAAATTTTACAATAACTATAAATTAGGGACAGTGACACGACCCTGTCATGGCTCATAATCTAGAAGAGAATGCAGACTATAAACCCATACCAGCTTTGCTGTTCCCAGTATGAAGGAAAGTATATCTATATGCTGATTTCTGCATGTAGTGGTTAAATACTATTTCAGGCAGGGAGAACACCAAACCAGAAATGAGAACTAGGGTCTAGGCCCAGTTCTGCCAATACCTAATGCTGTATGTAATCTTGGACCTACCTTCTATGTAGGATGCAGAGGGTAGCTCTTCTTGGTCCTAGTGTTCCAGAATTCTGCAATCAAAAGAAAGCATTTAATGAAACTACTCTTTGAAAAATCATTCTTGAGGGACCTTAAAGTCTTCCTGTCATTCAGAAATAACTTTTTTTTTTTTTTTTTTTTACCTCAGAAGGCTCACCAAGTAACATGTTGGAGAATTCAAAGCCTTGTTCTTACTATAGTCTATCATTTAGTAAATGCCTACTGCTTTATGAGATGCTTTTTATGCACTTGCCTTAAATATCACAATAACCCCAGGAGAGGTAGTGGGATGTTATCCTTTTTTACAGAAGGGAAGATCGAGGCTTATGCAGGGTAGGTGACTTGGCAGAGGTCACGTGTCGGATAAGCTCCAGTTCAGCCTGTAAGCCCAGGTCTCTCTGATCCTATAGTCTAAGTTGCTTCACCAACAGTTTCAGATCAAAAACTGTATTCTGAAAAGAACTCCAGGTGAGAAAGACCAAAAATCAAACTATTATCATTTTTCATTGTCTCACCATCAGAGTTGAGCCAAACAGCAGCCCTGTGGACCTGTGCTCTGGTGAGAAAGACCAAAAATCAAAACTATTATCATTTTTCATTGTCTCACCATCAGAGTTGAGCCAAACAGCAGCCCTGTGGACCTGTGCTCTTCCATAATCTTGTTGCCCGCTATGGTTCTTACTCCTAAACTGTGAGACAGGAAACGTACACCACCCATTCAGGACTGCTGTTTCATACACACCTTTAAATATTTAGCAAAATCAGATTTCAAAAGACACTTAAGAATGTATTGCAAAATGTACAGCATTTATTCACATACAGACAAAAAGGCACAAATTCTACTAAATAGTTCAACAAAAAAATACAGCTGTCCTCAACTAGTTTTATAAATACTTTCAAAAAGGGGGTAGAAATAAATACAGGATTGGGCCATGTAATATAAAATAGTCATCTCTACATATACTTTAATTTCTGATTTTTAACTCTTCATGCACCTTTTTTTTTTCCAATTTTAGCTGAATGGACACCAAGCTAGGCACATAGTGAAAAATCCTCTGTACAAGGTTACAAATGTAATGACAAGTTCGTCCATTTCAAAATAATTAAGATTTGTACACAACACATAGAACCCTTCATTTCGATTTTGTGTTTATAACCTAACAAATGACATTCCAGGCAACTTTACAAAAGTTTAACTAGCCTACATTTTGACATAATACATTGATCATAATCAAAGATATTTCTTGGTCAGGATGCACAAGGAAAGATAAAGCTGAAAAGAAAAGAGCAAATGGTTCCACACTAATAGAGTGCAAGTGGGTGGGTGGGTGTGTGGGCTGCTGCTATGGCTGCCTCATACAGAGTTCCCAGCAGGACATGAACTAACTTACAAAGCTATCATTACACTGTCAGAGAAACCGTGCTCTATACCATTTGCATTTCAAAGCAGGAATAAAAAGTGTGGGCTTTTTATTTTTTGTGTTTTGTTTTTGTGTGGGTTTTTCTTTATTTTTTTGTTTTGTTTTGGTTTTTTTTTGGTTCAGCATAACTTGGAACTTTGAAAGCTTTTCAACCTAAATGTGGGGAAAAAACAGGTAAGGCATTATTTTTGCACAAAACTAGCATTCCTAAATAGTGCAAATGAATCTGGTACCTCTTAAAATGGTGAGAGGTCATATACTTACTAAAATTTAGATTTTCTTTCTATGGCTTGACAAATTACCCCTCTATATATTCTACTCTCACCCAGAGCTGTTGCTGTGGTCAAAAGGTTAACTGTGAAAAGTGTCCACCTTCTTCCATATCCAGCAAAAAGGTTTCTGCTCATATGCAAAAAAATCTGATTTTTAAATTACTAGTGAATGTACAGCTTGGATCCATTAGGAAACTCCTAATATCTGTAGCAACAGCTTACCTGGAGAGCAGTCTTTCAAAATGAGCCCTGTAGCTCAAAAATAGTCAATCTAAAAACCTGGGTCATTCTTTCCCCTCCCCTGAATTAGCTACTAAAATGTATCTGAAAAGTTAAGACTTGGTTTGAAAATGTCATACATACAATGGGGATGCATCAGATCTACTATTTGATCATCCGATAAAACTTGCATAGCAAGATGGAATTCAATAAGCCTTTTTTGCTGTTGACAATCACCTGGAAGACTTGAAAGGTAACTACAGAACTCAAAGCATCACTCATTAAGTATCAGAATGTCCCTGCCACATGGAAACAGATGTATAAATGAATCAGGAATCTGAATACTGATATTAACAAACTAAGGATAATTTAGGGGAAGTTGGGCTTGTTCCAAGTGCCCATAATTCTAAATCTCATTGCTATTTAAACTTTCCTTCTCTTAAGTTTGATTCACAACTACATTGAATTCCAAAGAAAATTAACAGGACCTTAACACTATCCACTGTCTTAATACATACGCACTGCAGTGAGTGCAAAAACAGAACATTGTACTCAAATTTAATGCTAAATTCATTATTGCTGATAACTTACTAGTTATTGCCATTTGCAATTAGAAAGTCCAAGTTACGAATTGGAGCTTAGAACTCTGACTCCAGGAAACCTATTACACTTCAATCTCTTTCCCGTATAACCTTGGTCAATGGTAAGAGGTTATCGCAACTTATTGCCTTTCTATTGTTTTTAAAATATAACTTATTTTGTTTTTTTTTTCCTTTTTTTTTCTTTTTCCTTTTTTTTTTTTTTTTCTTCTTTTCCTTTTCCTTAAGGAATCCGTTCAGGTTGGAAGCCCAGATTCCCCAACATACGCACTAGTGGTTGGCTCTGGGCAGTTATGTCACCAGAGTCTGGAAGTTCATCACTTAAACTTGAATAGCCATTAGTATTGTTGGAAGCCAGACGGCCAGGTATCGCCAAAGGCCAGGGAAATCCCAAGCTGGCCCAGAAGGCAGTGGTTAGGGAAGAGGAAGGTCAAAGGTACTGAAAACATGGAACCAGCTGCCCTTTCTCACAGATAGGACTTTCTAACGGCTTCACTCTCCACCAGTCCCATTCCCACGATGCATTCAAGTGCTTCAGGCAATAGGACCTAGCTACATTTACCCCAGCTCTCCAAGCTGCAGCAGCTCTACCCTGTCCCTTCAGATTTGCAAGTAACAACCTTTGTTAAAATTCTCTCTTTCCCATCCGCAATTATAATTTACACTTGAATTCCCTAGAGTTACTGAAGCTTCAGAGCTGCTGCCTAGAACTAGAATGCAACAAAAACAGCCTTGTGGGCCAAAGTATAAACAGGATTTCAAGTTCTACCACAGTCCTAGAAAGTAAGTTTTATGGGCTAATAAATGGTACGTGAGGGTTTCTCAAGAACTGCATCTGATTCCGCATATTCAGGTAACCAAGAGTTTGTGCTTTGGGAAGGATACAGAGGGCAGTAAGAACTCAGGAGGCTTCTGTGAGCCTTGCCCTCTTTAAAGACTTATTTCATTCATTCTTATTTTAGTGTTTAATTCAGCCTCTAGTCTTAGCGGTGTCTTACAATCTACTCTTGTGTTTCCTCAACAAGTTGCAGATAACACACTTCTCACAACAATGATTTATAAATGACTCTGAAAAAAAAAATTCAATCTGACTTGCAAGTAAATGTGTTTGCGTAGCTCAGGAGTGATGGGTTTCTGCGTGTCCCCCGCTTCAGAGCTCCCGTCTAGCAACTCCGTGACAAGCCCGCGGTGCTCCCACACCATCTGTTTCATCAAGAGGCCAAGATGCTTCTCCTGATAATGTCTGTCCTCCTGTTGATGGTGCTGCTGGCGTGTATACATTTCTTCTCTGATGCCTCACTCTCTGAGTCACTCATCTCTACATCAGGGACATACCCGTCATTCTCATTGTCAGATTTTAATTTGTTTTTGGCCCTTTCCTTAGCTGGAACTCTGCCTAGGCCCAGATAGGGGTAGTCTGAGTGCTGGTGGCAGGCCCCCTCATGGGCCTCTCCCTGCTGCTGCCGTTCCCCCTTCTTTGGAATCCGGAATCCTCCCCAGTTCTTCACTGGGCTGGCAGGCGTTGTAGGCACTTTGACTGCAGTCTGGTTATAGTTTACTCTGATGAGGGAGCCGTTGCACTTGGGCACTATCTCCTTCCTTGTGCCGGGTGCTGACTGCCCCCCTCCAGGGGAGGTGGTAGCTCGTGTGCTGTCCAGATGCCTCTGGGACATGTCTGTGGACCTGAGAGGCTTGTGACTCTGTTTACAAGGTCTGTCCTTTAAGTCTCCCTTACTGAGATCACAATGGAAACGATGGTCTCTTCTGTCCCCGTGGTCGGGCACCACCACACCATTTTTCTGTTGTGCTGACAGGAGACGCGCTTCTGCAAAGGTCTTTTCAAAACTCAAAAAGCTCTCTGGGACCACCATCCCCTCCCTTCTACCACACAGGTCTGGCTGCTTCAGCAGGGCTTTGCCTCCACTCCCAGTGCTGTTCTGCAATGGATCTCGCTTATGGGGCTTTTTCAGCGAATGAACCAAGGAAGTACCCATTTGCTTCCTGAAGAACGCAGAATGCCACTTCAGGTCCTCTATCTTGGGAGCATCAGGGCCCACAGAAGGACTGTTGAACAGAAGCATGTTTTCCAGTGAGGACGAGGAGCAGGAAGATGAAGGCACACCTATGAACATATAACCACAGAGAAAGAAAAATTACAGAGGCAGATCCAGAACAATTAAATTCTAGACCCATGGCATGGCCCTGTTAATGCAAACTTCCCACCCAACACTACAATATACAACCACCCCATTTATAAAAATTTGGTTTTTCATATAAAGATATTACCTGCCTTGAGAATCTGCATACTCCATTCAATATGCTCTTATTTTATAAAATAGCTGAAGCTCACAAACTTTTTCATGAAACATCTAAGAAAAATATTTTCTGGGCACCTGGGGGCTCAGTTGGTTGAGCATTGACTTTGGCTCAGGTCATGATCTCACAGTTCATGAGTTGAAGCCCCGCACTGGGCTCTGTGCTGACAGCTCGGAGCCTGGAGCCTGCTTCAGATTCTGTGTCTCCCTCTTTCTCTGCCCCTCCCCCACTCGTTCATGTTCTCTCTCTCTCGAAACATTAAAATTTTTTTTTCCTTCAAACAAAGTAACTGATCTGACTTTCATAGAGGAATCCATGCCAAATCCATCTGGTGGTCAAGCACTGCCCCTACCCCTGCACCTGGCTAGTCACCTGCCTTGCCTCCCTACAAGACAGCACCACAAGGGGAGGCAGCAGGTCTCCACAGTTTCCTTCTCCAAAGTAAATATACCCTCACAGGGCCATAGTGAGGATACATACATGTAAGTACATGAAATGAGAATGGAATGTTTAAAATCATTCTTGACACATAGTAAATGTTTTTTAAAAAGGTTTACTATTATATGCAAAGCCCATTTGTGGAATTAAACTGAATTATCCAACATGAGGATAGGTTAAAATGGTGTTTTTCATTTCTGATATAAATCACAATAACTAAATTTCACAGTGCAACCCAGTAAAGTTTACATTTCATGAAATCATATTAGCCTTCACCATGTGATGTGGCACTCTGACATTTTCTATTATATGTCACTTGCTTTTAATGCTGGTGGTGACCCACTGAATTCATCTCACAACCAACTTACGACTTAGAATCCTCAGTGTGAAAAACACTGAGTGAATTTGTTAACACACTGGAGTTCATGGACCACATTTCTGCAGGAGCCTCCAGGACATCTATAAAGAGCCAATTTCATGTTTTGTCTCCCATAAAGGATAAACCACCAGGAAAACAAGGCTCTGCCAGGCAGGAGCCTACATGCAACCTCACTGCTCAGCAGACAAGGACCCTGCATGTAAACAACAGAGCTGGCAACTCTAAACATGAACCTGCTATGGACAGTCACAGGGGAAGGGGTTTTACAATCTGCTGGGCTAAAGATGTGTGCTTTCTCAAGAATCAACTGTTAGGGCCACCCTTCACACCACATTTCTTTTCCTCAGTCGCCTACTGTGGGAAAACCAAGGTAAGAGGGACTGACATTTTCTAAATTCTGATTTCCATCTACTTGGGATCCAGGTCTCTGAAAAGTCTCCAACTCACGACCTCCCATGAGCACGGTCTCCACTGAGGACACTCTCATCCAACAGAACGGCCCTGCTCATTCTCAGATTCACACACTAGAGTCTAAACCGCAGACCGTGACTGACACTTAGAAGTCATGGCTGTCCTCCACCTGAAACCATCTATCTTATAAGACATGAGATCCACTTGGGGCATGAGTAAGAACACAACTGAAAATCTAAAAACTGGAAAAGAAAAAAAAACAGGCATCCTGAAGGTTTCCCCTTCATTCCCTGTGGCATCCTGCAGTTAGATTAATGTTGCTTTCAACCCATCAGACTCAGTATGGTTCATATCTCAGAGGGATGGGAGGGTTTGTTTACCTTCTCTGGAACAACAGTAGGTTCTCATTACAGCCCTGTTACACAAAATACTTCCTAACCTGGGTAAGAATCTCAATCACCTACCCAAGTAAAAACCTCAGCCATGAAATGCAAAAAGCTGCCTGCAGTATCCATGAAAAATGACCCTTAAGTGAAATCAGATGAAAATGCGCTTTACAGCTTATTTTTATAGGCAATCACTCATTACATAATACCTCAACAAGAGTCACAGAAAGCCCTCCAATGGCAAAACTCCACAGGTACAACCCGCACTAACGGCCCTGTGCAACGGCAGCTCTGACAGCTTGGCCTCTGCCGGCTGGACACCGGCCGATCGGCACCAGACAGCCTTCCATGTGGGCTGTTTGTGTGAGGACGCAAAGGCAAGGGATAAAACAGGTCCCATTTATTTGCATTCAAGTAGGAATAACGAACGAAAGAAGTTCACTTGAAAGAATCTGAATCACTTATGAACCCTACTTAGAAAAACTTACTTCAACTCATTTTAAATCACAACTATCAACTCTAGTTAATGATACATCTGAAAACTATTTATTCTCAGGAAGAAAATATCTAGGTTAGCATTAGTAAGTTAATGCCATTAGTATTAACTATGTAACACCCCAAGAATATCATTCAAAACTCCCTAAGCTTTTTTTCTCTTTGTTCAGCTGACCCAATTTACCTCTAGTTCCATTTATCTGGTTAGTTTTAGGTAAACCAGAATTCGGATTTCCATATAATAGGATAGAACAAGGTCTTTGTTGTTTCTACATGTCAGTCTCTACAGAGACTAAAAGCCACAGAAACAGGAAAAGCCAGCGTCTGTGCCTGCATATGTGTCTGGGGCCACATGAAGGGAGCACTGTGAACACTGATGCTCTGGCCCAAGGGCAGAGCAGGGCCACAGAGCTCACTGAAGACCCGCCAGACCCACCCCACATACCTCCTTCTCTGAAACCTTTACGAGGCCAGCTGTGCAGGGCTCACGTTCACAGAGTGTTAGCGCTCAAAGACTCATTAGAGGTCATGGTTCTGAACCAAGCCCCTTTTACAGATCAAGAGTCCCAGGCAGGTTCAGCGACTTGGCCAACTTTGCACTCCACCTCCAAGTCACTGAAGTGCTCTCCAGAATTGAGCAAGTTCCCCTTTTCACTTCACCTAGCCCAGAAAAATTAAGTAAACACTTGATGCTGAATCTCAAAAATATTCAAAATTCCACCTACACCAAAAAGTACACTGTGAACGTTATCTAAACATGGATATGTGTCTTAAGAACACAGTCTTAAGATACCTTATTTATGATATGTTACAGGTAGATCCGAAGCTAGATAATCCATAAATCTTTACAGGTGTCCCCATGACACTTTATACATTTATCAAGTGCTTTGCAATATAATGTAGAAGTTGGTTTTGCTTGCATGTCACAATAGCTCCCAGAAGGAAGCTCGAGATACCTTCCTCATATTACACAGGAGGAAATGGGGGAGCCTCTGAAAACTTAGGCTTACTTATATTTGGCCTATAAGGAGAGAATTTAGGATTCGACCTCTAGTTGAGGTCAAATTCATAGCCCTTTTCCCTATTACCATGATGCTTCAAATGCCAAAAGATTTTCTTTGAATACCAAAGTCTGTGCTATTCAGATTCTCCTATAGCATAAATAAAAGAAAATTAAACATTTTTTTTCCTTAACAGAACGTTAAGGTTTACAAACCCCTGCACTATTGTTTGACCTACAAGAGCTTAATGCATACCTGAAACTCTTTCTTGCTCCAAGAGCTTAGTGTAAAGATTGAATATCTGTTCCTGGACTTTGCACACAGATCGCTTAATCTTTTCCCTGCGGGTCACCATGTAAGTGAGGTTCCGAACCTAGAACGTAGAGAATAAAGATTCTAAGTAAGTAATACATTATAACGGTACTTTGGTGTTGGTTTTTTTTTTTCCCTAAACATGAGAAATTTGTCCCGCTAGGGTCTTGTGTGACATCTGAAATCAAGATGTACTTCAAACACTTTATCCAATCTCTAATCTCCTTTGGGGCTGCTAACTAGGATTCCACATATACCCCTCAATGTAGGGGGCAGCACAAAAAAGACTAGGAACTCAAAAGCCCTGCCCGCCCCCACCACCCCCAGCCTGAGGCTCATCCTCAGGGGAAGACTGCCGGGGTCCCGGTCCAGACTTGCTACCTCTTGCCAAGGAGCTCTGCTTACCACCCCTCAGTATCCTCTTTCCACCAATTCTATTACCTAAGGCTTTAGAGCAGTTCAGAAGCCACTTTGTCAAGCATTTTCTGAAGATGGAATTAGGTAAGCACAGAGTCAAGGGCCATCACAGGAGGAAACTCCCTCCCCCCTCAAAAAAAAAAAAATTAACCCTGCACAGAGCCCACTAGAAGACCAAACAGTCACCAGGAAGCCAAGTAAACTTGTCAACTGGATAGTTGAAATGTGAGTTCACAGGTAGCTAATGTGTTCCTAGAGTGTGAAGCTAGGTAATGTCTTCACTTTGCCATTGACATGCCATCAACATCTCAAGGCCAGCTCGTGTCACCACTTGAAGAACTGACACTGCCCTTGTCCAGAATCACCTGTAAGTAACTGAAAGGACCCAAGTGCTAAGAGCTCCACTTTGTATCCCATGGCAGGCACTGGGATCACGTGCATATGCTAACAAATATGAACTAGTCGACACCCAAATCTGTTCCCCATTTTTAAAGCCGCCTGTGATCAGGTGATACGAAAACAAAATAGTAAACCCCCTTAAATCCTTCAGTCTTCAAACCTACTGGGAAACCTGACTGGATTATTGCACCTGAAAACACAAATGTCAAATTTAACACAGCAGGGATACGATTAAACTTTTTCAGGAAGATGAAGATGCCCTAAAGAGCTCAGTGGCAGGAGTGAAGGGACGCTGCATCCCCATCACGTCTTCTGTCCAAGGCAGGACTACACTCCCCTAAAAACTCACGTCTTCCAGAGGCTTGGGCAATCCCTTCCCTGACAACCTTCCTTGAAATGGGCAAGTTCGAGTCACCAATCTTTTCTTCTGTTAGAATGGCAACAAGCCACACACACGACTGCACTCTGGCTTCTGTGCAGAGACCTCCCCTAGGGTTTCCAGTCCTTTTAGACCCTAACAATTCCAGCTGTTCTGTCCTGAGTTGTACTCAATCAAGGCAGTCTTGTTTGCAAGAGGACAGAAGGCATAAAGAGGAACAGGTTGGCTGGCTTTCACACTGCATCATGGTGCAATTTACTGGCCTAACACCAGGTCACCAAGTAAGGCTTCTGCTGACCCTAACCAATTCACGGACTATTTAGGATGTTCCTAACATCTCTCTTCTTGATGTGTAGACAGACGTGTGTGTATGTGTATGTGTGTGTGTGTGTTCTTAGAATTAAAGAACTGAAAAGAAAATCACTCTCCCCGTCTCAGAGTAAATATTATTTTGGTGTAATTTACCTTAGCTAAAGCCCGTTCTGACAGCCTCAGAACCCCAGGCCAGGAAGTAGGTGTCTTAGAAAAATCATAACCAGTTTGGGGATAGAAGTGGCTAATAGGCTATTGTCTTTGATAAATACTGTTTCACCCAAGGCGGATATTAAGAGTGGAAGCTCAAAAAGAAGAAGGGGCAAGACTTAGATCTGTAGCACAGATTCAGAACTTTTGGAGAACAGTTTTTACATCAAGACAAGGCATACAACTTCTGGAAATAGGAAATGGAAACAAATTCTGACATCCTAGGAACAGATAAGAATCCTCTTCAAGTCAGAGGTACAGCCAAGATAACTTCCATTTCCCTTACTCAAAATTATGCATGAAAACAGAGTATCCAAACTTCACATGTTATTCAAATTCCATTTTGGTAGCTTCAACCACTACCCCCAGGAAAGGCTTCCACCCTGGCTAAGTGGGCAAATTCTACTTCTTTCCCCCATGATCTCTGATGAGAAACCTCTTCCTATAACCCCAAAAAACTAAGGCCAGGGTGGATTTTCAATGGAACAAATCAGCCCATGAATAACCCAGGCCTAGCTGACCACATTTAGAACAGCGAGCGCCCTGAACTTTTTTCCCTCCCTTATGCACAGAACACTCCTCACACAGCTTCCATCAGCAGTCCCTGTAGTAGAGCTGAACCGAGGCTCTATCCTCAAAACATACCCTGCACGTGGCCCTTCCTGTGCACTACTCAACTAAGTGTCCTCCCCTGCTGACCAAAAAAAAAAAGCCAGTTCATGGGTGCACTCTCCCTCACACCATGTTAAACCAGAGTCCGGCTTTCCCCAAAAGCGGTGGTTCTCAAACAGAAACATGTGAGGACCCTAAAACACAGAATGCTGGCCCCTACCCCATTTCTGGAGTCAGAGGTGGGATCCAAAACTTGGCACTTCTGCGAGGTGTCCAGGGAATGTTGCTGCTGGCTGGGGCCCACACTCTGAGAACCACTGCCCTCGGGAATCCAAGAATGGTTTCAAGGGGTTTTCTTCAATGCCAAAACACTCCTTGCAACACTAAAGCTTAACATGCCTTTCATCCAGGGATAACTAGAACCTCTACCAGATTTTCAAAGGTGAGCATTCCACTGTGTTGAGTAGGATAGCCTCCCAGGGGCTGGCCCTTTCCGATGACCCAGCCACAAGTGCACAGGCAGTACGTCTTTATCTGAGCACGTACTCATTTACGGATGTTTACTGCATCTTTTAAAAGATGTCTAGGGGAAAGGAACCCCACCAGAGTGAGTGGCAGCCTCAGGAACTTGACATAGCCACAGACTACACATCGGCAATGGTGTCTTCTTAAAGATGTTTGTTCTCAAACCCTCCTAAAATCCACTCCTGCCACCTTTCTGATCCAGAATGGTACCCAGGTGTGCAATGCCCCAAGGTGTGTATTTGCAAAAAAGAGCTATTACCATTATCAGTTATCAGTGGTTTACATTTCTAATGAAGTCTACTTATTTGTCAGTTTGGTATTGACCACAGCCTTGATCACAGACTTGTGTATTCTTGGATTCTGCATACCTGCTGTGAACTACTGTGTGAATTAGAAATCCAACTTAACTGAAACACAAAGTAATTTGTTATTTGTTCTGGTTACCCCTGCCCTGATAAGCCTTTGGCCTGACATATACTTGTTGTCTATAATTACAAAGAACTGTGCAGCTCTCAGGAGCACAGCAAATATTTCAATTTTTAAAACCCGGAAAACATATTTTTCATTATAATAAGCCCATTTAAAACTGACACTAAATTCCCTAAGATCTCTTAAGCTTTTAATAAAGTAAATGTAAGTAATGCCACACACACACACAAAAATCCTGATTTATTCCCTGTTTCTCATACATCATTGGTATCATTCTACTTAAAACCAACAGTGATGACTTCAAAAAAAAAATGTTTAGAATTGAATTATAAGTGCATGTTAATCTGAGTAACTTAAGTACAGAAAAGAGTTAGTACACCACAAGCATTTTCTACACTTTTATTTTGTGGTGATTGTGAGACAAACACAGTCCAAACATTTAGACTTCTCGTCCTCCCTCCTGAGGACTATCTGACTCCATAGCTCATGCACCCCAAGTACAGCAGTTGTCAGGCTGGGATAATATAATGGCTTCCCACCAGGATTCCAGTTTATCCTTCTGAATCCCTTTCTCAGCTCTTAACAAAAACGCCACACACACAATGTGGTCGAGGCGAGGTCTTCTTTACACTCACCACCAGGGGGGGCACGGCAGCACAAAAGCCTCACAAACCCTCCGGCGCTTCACGCCTGCCTCTCCTGCTCGGCCTCTGCCTGAATCTGGAATCCTAACTTGGTCATAGAAGGGGTGTTACGATAGCTGGTCCTTGGACACTCAAGTCTCGTACTAGAAGGATCTCTAATGAACACTTAATACTTTTGCTCCTCTGCCGTCTAGAACAGGGCCATGCAGGTCTCTGTGAGATCTGATCTTTGGCTTAATACTGCTTTTTTTTCCCTATTCCTTGCCTACACTCTCATATTTCAAATCATCTACGTGTCAGATCCTCTCCCAGGCAGATGAATCACACCCTGCTAATAAGTGAGGTGCTTGGGGGAGATGCGTTAACCATTTCAGGCCACTTGGGTGCCTTTCAGTGCAGGATGCTTCAGGCCAGAGAGCCTCAGTCCCATCTCCTCTGCACTAATGAATTCAACAGTAGCTGGCAGTCAGGCGAGATGACGCAGAAGATGCTCTAAGATGTATCCCCAATTAGCAAGTCTCAGAGACTACCTACAGGGAGCAGGAGGCCCTGGAGGGAAGAGAGCCCATTCCTAATTATTCCAGTAGCAGGAAGGGAGGTCCAGACTGGGACTCCAAAGGTAATGGAGAACTGGGGAGGCATAAAACAGCAAACAGTTGAGGGAAGTGCCATCAGCTGAGGCTCCAGGCAGCCAACAGCCACTACGTTCAGCAATCCAGTAGTGTGATAAACTAGTGTCCTGAGCATTACAAGGGGCTCCTCAGATCAGATACCCCTATGCACCAGGTACCCCACCCCACACCTGCATAGACACACATGGGCATGGACACACGAGCAGACACGCACAACATACAGACACTGCCTCAGTGATGACTTAGCACCTCGTTGCCAGGAGTACCCTCTGGAACAGATATGCACGTGTATATAAGATCATGCACACATATCAGCACCCACAGCCTGCTCTCCTCCGTGACATTACCGGAATGTCCCTGTGAATCAGCCAAGAAATGAAGGTGGGCCAGAGAGGCGGTGCTTCGCTCTCCTTGATGAGCCCGTCACAAGCACCCAGTGTTTCCCCAGGTTGAACAAGAGATCTCTCTACTTCTGTCCGTCCCCACCACGAATTAAATCCACCTGGTTTTCTTTTCTAACTCCATTTGCAAACAATTCTGAGCCAATCCTTTGGTCATTTTCCCTGGGGCTCAGGTCCCGCTAGTACTGGAATGAAAGGCGGAGGGGACACACCCCATGTGATCTTACAGAAGAACAATAAGGATTAATAGGAAAGTGTTTTAAAAATAAATCACAGAGAAGCTCCCCCCTCTGTGGCAGTCTTACACATATGTACAATGAGTTTACCAGCCCATAAGTATATTGAACCAACACAACCTCATGCTGCAGTATGTACAAGGGTCTGAGAGTAAATGAACTGGCTACCATTCCTTGCTCTGGGCGAGCAGCCGCCTCTTTGCAATCTTCTTTTCTAAGTCACTACAAGGTGTCAGTGTCAATCATTACCCTCTCCAGGTCCTGCCGCAGATGAGTGAACAGCTGCAGCCTCCTAAACAAGACATCCTGCTCCCTCTTCGCTAGATTGTCCTCTTCGTCTTTCTTTGGAGTGATCAAGGGCTTGTTGAAGTTGACCTTCCTCTTCAACTTCCAGTACTGGTACAGGAAATCCACTACTTCCTCAGGCAGCCGCAGGGCCCTGGCGACATCCAGCAGGTTGACGAAGGTGTAGAACTCATCTTCCAGCTGCTGCAGCTTCTGCTTACGGACACTCACCCGGTGGGCCTCTTCTTGATTCTGCTCAAGGCTGGCAAAAGGCTCCAGCGGATTCCGAGGGGAACACTCAGAGGCCCCATTCTCCTGAGTGGCCCCCTCACCGAGGCTCTCCTCGGGTTTTCTATGTGAGCTGTGCTTCGGGCAGTAGGACTTGAACTTGACTTCATCGTTCTCCGCCAAGATGGTCTTCATCTCCAGGCCCCGGTCGAAAGCACAGGTCACGTGAAAGGCTGTGCGGCAGTTCTTCACAGAGCACTGGTAAGAACACAGAGAAGGAGAGAAGAGACCGTTATGGAGTGACGGGGCTGAAGCCCCTCCAAGCCAAGCACCCCCCATGCATGCGCGCACACGCACACACACACACGGGAAGAGCAGCACCTCGAACACGTGCCGGGGCAGGACATTCTACCTGGATCAACCCTGGTACACCAAGTCATATTTTAAGTAAGGTAAGGCTTGGGATTTAAAGGAACTCTTTAGGTGAAAGGTTTGGTGAACCAACCCTTTGGCTGAAAGGTTTGGTGAACCAACCCAACTCCCAGAAAGGTAACTGCATCCAAAACGCCTCTAAAAGCAGACACAATTATACAAAGGCCACACACAAACAAAGGTGGTCTGGCACTCAGATTATATTTAAAAAGAACATGTGCTCAACATGCAAAGTAAATTTTGAAACATTAATTGGTGTTCCTAGATTTGAACTCTTTTAAAAGTGTGCTTATATTAAAAGGTTGAAAAAGAATCTCTTCAGGAAGAATGACTGCTAGTCAGAGTTTTTAAAGGAACGTGAATCCTCATTCTCACCCCCCAGCCAAGAAGAGCCCAACACAAGTGGAAAAATAAATGCTACAGTTCCTCCAAGCAGCCAAGGGCTGCTCACGTCTGAGGAGAATGAATGAAACAACTCCTGGACGAGCAGGAAAGAAAAGGAGAAAAGAGAATCCAGCACAGGAAGGCAAAGGTCTCCTCACCCGTGAAGAAGCTCCAGCATATGCAGAAGGCTCCAGGGACCAGCGCAGGCCCTGCACGGAGACTAGTGTGCGCAGGGACTGGTAGTACCGGCTACTCCCAGCGTCATGTGTGCCTGACTGCTGAGCAGCAGAACCATGAAGGACCTGCTTCCTGTGGGTCACAGGGAGGTCGACCTAGAGACCAGGCACCACCCAGCCATGGCTTCCTCCTCACTGAACACCTTCCCTCTCACTGCCTGCTCAGGGCTATAATTTAGTGCCTTGATTCAGATGGCAAGCCAGAAGCCCAGCAGGAGGAAAGTCATTAACTTCTCCCCATCTGATCTTGCTGGGCGAATCCCTGGAAGGAGGTTCCTTGTGGTGACTAAAGCCAGTCCCTCAAAAGCAACACTGTATTGTCTGAGGCCAAGTGATCCCCGGGCACACCAGGGCTGCAGAGAGGAGCAGAACCCAGTGGCCCAAGGCCAGCTTGAAAAGCTTAATTAAACTCATTCAACAGACCCCGAATCCCAGAACCACAAATGGCAGAGGCTTGAGTTGGGGTTTTTTTTTCCCCTCATCATTTCGGTATTTAAGAGGTGACTCATTGCCAGCCATGATTTCTTCCATTTTTATAAAGTCTCTTATACCCACAAGTACAGAAAATCCAGCTCCCTTCACCATTCCCATTACAAACACTTATAGCATATGAACTAACATAAATCTGTTAATTTTACCTATAAATAACCTCAATTCCAAGAAATGTGTGAAATCAGCTTTAGTGGCAGAACACACACATACACACCTGGCCACTATCATCACATACAAAGTGCTCCTCCCTTCTAGCGCGCAGCCAAGCGGGAAGTCAAAGTGGGAACAGATGACTGAGACACTATCTGGGTCTGGCTTAACCTACCCCTAACCCAGCGCTCGGACCTTAAAGAGGAATGAGCTACAGCGGAATATTTATACAGGACTTTGTAAAGGCGCCAAATGGCCTTCCTCTGGGTTTTCCTATTCAGGTTGACTCAGCAAACAGATGTTACAGAAACATAAACCAGAGCCTCCACAGCTGCAGACATTTCAGAGAGGAATTCTTTAATAAAAATCATTCTATTCTGTGAAGATATGAAAAATCATCAACCTTAGTTGGCCTCTTTTTCAAGCTAATGTTCTGGGAAAAAGAGGTCAGTGGCAACAAAAAAAAAAGTCATTTTATCGTTCTCTCTTCAAAAGGGAAACAAAGGTCTCATTTACCCACCTCTCACAAACATCAGTTCAGAATGTGGATAGGTGTGCTCAGGAAAGGGCATAAATTTTATCCTCGGAAGCACATCAGGTAACATGGAAGGAAACAACTTCCATTTCCCTCGGTCTGCCTCTGCTTGTGTCCTGCAAGTGTTCACGTGGGTATGTCTATACAGAAACACACTCACAGGGTTCTAATGCTTGTTTTTCATTCTGGGGCTTTTTAAAAATTTTTTCTTCCATTTTCTCCCAAAGGCCAGAGGGTGTTTGTCATGTTTTAAACAGATTCTATTCACATGCAAAACCCTGCACTATTTTCAAGGTCTGCAGCCAAATCCCACCAGCTATCTCATGCCTCACCCTCTGAATATTCGTTACATTCTGGATTCTCAAACTCCAGTGGAGGTGATAATGAAGAAAAGTAGAAATACTAGGCTTACAAAATGAAAAAGTTTTAAAACCTCTAGTCAGTAGATAACTTTACTGAAACAAGATTTACCAGCCAAAATACAAAATGATTTTGCCCCATGAGGTCATTTCTTCAAAACCTAAGACTGGCAGTTTGTATCTGTGCTGATCTGTTGTGTTTTCTACATCAAGAGAGAAGCCACTACTCCTAGAATGTGTCACTGAGACCGGTGGCCCTGAGCTGGACTTTCTTCCCAGAGGAAGAGCTGGACTTGACCTTGAGAGCCAAAGCCACATATAGCATTTGAAGACCTTGGCAGAAACAGCATCTTGGTCATCTTAAATCATGACTCTAAAGGCCAAGAATAACATGAGCCCCAGAAGTCAATTTCTCAAGCAGAATTTTAGAAAACATGAAAAAGTAGCACACCATTTACATTCTCTCCATAATCCTACCTAAAGATTTTCTACATTTGTCTGTGTGTGGACATGGAATATGCAAGCAAAACTTTTAACATTATTGCTTCTTCCCCCCAGACACACACACTCCATCCCACACATCCTAGGTGCCAGGAAGAATTAGATGTCCAACCTGTACTCAGATAACACTTCTGCAAACACCACCTGGTGCAGCACCTCATGGGTGTCCCACTACCCGGCTGGCGCTCCAAAGAATCTTCTCTACCAAACGCTAAAGTTATTAGCACAGCAAGCTGATTTGGAATAATGCACATCTAAGGTCTCAGGCACCCCATGTGTGCACCAAAACTCACAGAGCTGGTCTGCCACCAGCCGCATTAAGTGCAGGTGGGAAGGTGGCCAACCCTCCAGTGTCAAGAATGGTTCTTCCCTGAAGAATGGTTCTTCCCTGCCTGTGTAAAGAGCTGCAATGCCAGGCTTGGGGCAGAAAGGTAGAAACCAGAAATGAACTGATTTGCTGTACAGCTCAGGTGGACTTCTGACTTGCTCTGTGATTGTTACAGCTAAGGTTCTGGTTATGCTGGACACAATTCGCCAGCTAAAGGTGTTTATACCCCGCTGGAATCACTCCTCAGCAGACTCAGAAGGACTGGGAGAACCTCGCCCTGCTTTCTGGATTCTAGTTCCATGACCAAATCCTCTAAGAGTTCACACAGCCCTCCCTCGTCCAGCTCCAGAACAGAGCCATCATCATAACTGAGAGGATTACCTGTATGGAGGCCCCAAACTTCTCATTGCAGAGGCTACACACCAGCGCCCACCGACTGCTGGGGATGTGAGACACCTTCGTGATGGGTTCCATCTTCTCGGGGCTGCCAATGCTCACCTACAGGCCCAAGGAATAGCAAGACAGGGTAGCAGAGGCCATCAGACCAACAAGGACTGAGCATGGACAATAGAAACTTAAAGATCTTGTTTACATGCAGACCTCCTACCTGATAGCGACAAGGGGCAGGCATGCATGCACTCTCCTATGACAGGAAAACCCCTACTTTAAAGCATCTGGACAGGTCAGGGGCCAGCTCTGGTCCAGTAGCAGTAGAGAATGGAGAGCCCAGAGCACATGGCCCGTGCCCCATGCCCTCCATACATGGGGGTAGGGGGAGAGGGAGGAAGGGGAGTTCAGTTGACATACATGTCCCTATTTATAAAAACACTCAGATAACCAATAATATTCACTTCTCACCTGAGTGTCTGACAGCAAAGACAGTTATGTATCAGGACAGAACTATCTAATATACCTCTGGCCCACAATGAAGTGGTAAAGACTGAAAATCTTAATTTAAATAGTGTGTGAACAATGGAGTGAAGTAAATATAAACTAATTTTAGTACCTCTCTCACTGAAGAATACCATTCTCTTCAATCAGAAAAGATTATTACATTCAAAGTGGAAAATTACCAAGATAAATAAGGTATCCTCTCTGCATTCAGCCTGGATCACTGAACTGCACAGCTGTTAATACCAAACCATGAGATCCAGTTGTACCAAAACCCAAGTCATGAAACTACAATCCAAATCATCCCCAGATAATTTTCCTCAGGAGGAAAAATGCACCCAAAATCACACACCAAAAGAAATGCTGAAATCTGAATCACAAATGATATTCTCATAGTGAGCCATGCAAATTAAATTAGTCAAGGTCTGGGACTTGAAATAAATTAGACCAGACCTGAAATTAAAAAGGTTGAGGCTAAGTAAGAATTTTAATAAAAATCACAGAAATGTGACCTACAGCAGTGGCTCTTTAACCATGCTACATGGCTCCCCAGGCCAAACGAAAGAGGTAGTGCTGATCCCTGGGGAAGGACACAGTGGCACCCAGGCCAAAGTTAGGCCACACTGCAGGTCCACTCCCGGGAACATGTATCAGCAGTGGGTTGGCCATGACACAGTTCTGAAGTGAAGTCTGAACACCACCAACTGAGAGTCCAAATCACTGCTGCTTCCAGTTAACATTCCCACAATATATACCATGACAAGATGACAATACACTTGAGATTCAGCTTGGGGGGCAGGGGGGAGACAGCAATTAAAAGCTGTCTTTTTACTCATTAGCTACAATACCCCTTATTTATGAACAGTTCCCCACTCCCGTGCCCAGCTAAAAACCAGTACCTCCTGAGCTAAGCTACTAGTAAGAACCACACCTACCTCAGGGATCCACAGAGCACAGCTGACATGGACCCATTTGGTGCCACTGCGGGTAGGCTTCATAGCTCCGCCTTTCTTGGGACACAGCAAACACTTGGGCTGAACCCCTAGGGCACATGTCCGGCATAGCCAACTACCCTCTGGGACCTTGAGGATTCCATAACAGGCCTGTGAAGCCATTCCCCAAGGAAAACAGAGAAAGAAGGTAGATTTACTTTTCCCCATATACCTATTAATTTAAAAACACCTAGGATGATTTTAACAGAAGTACTCCCAGGTCCACCTAGCTGGAGACCCTCTCCCTTCAGCAAAAATGCCAGGCAGCCTGACAGCAGCAGCCAGGAGGTATCTGGGACAACACATACTCATTTACCAGGGGACAGTCCTGAAAACACCTGGAGGACAAAAAAGTTTATAGAAATTCTGCTTTGCTGTGTGGCTAGAGGCACCTATCTACACACACCAAATTTTTAAATAATGGGCAGCAAATTCTTGAAACACTTCACAAGGCTGATAGGAAGCTATTCCTCCTCTGATTTGCTGATGTGGGTGGGATACAAAGTGAGGGGAAAATGCACAAAGCAGTTGAGTCTCTGAAAGCTGTTCAATGAGATAGCCTCAGAAATAAGAATTGGGGGGGGCGGTGCTGGGTGGCCAGTGTCAATACAGACTACTGGAAAAAAAATTTTCAATAGAACTAAAAGATACTAATAAGGTTTCAAATACTTAAAAAAAAAAGTCTGTATCAGGCATTCTAGAGGAAGTCCCATTTGAAGAGATTTTTATTTTTATTTTATTTTTACTGCAAAATCAAGTCTAAGCTAAATTAAAAGATTAAGTACGGTATGCCTTAAAGAGAAGTCTGGAAGAACATGTCAAAAGGAAGATGAAGTAGATGTTAAGGAAAAGAGATAATGTGGCAACCAACTCTTGTTGGTTTCGGCTCAGGTCATGATCTCATGGTTCCTGAGATTAAGCCCTGCATGTGGCTCTGCACCGACAGTGCAAAGCCTGCTTGGGATTCCCTGTCTCTCTCTCTGCCCTTCCCCACTTCCATGCTCTCTCTCAAATAAATAAACAAACTTAAAAAAAAAGAAAAGAAAGAAAAATGAACTAAGGAACATCCACGTTCTCACAGCTCAGCAAACTCTACTCACTAGACTCTATCTCTCTCCCAAGTGAACACAACAGGCACAGAAAAATGAGACACTGAAGACAGAGATAATTTGGTCTCTTTACCTGATATCTATTTTTTTTTTTTTTTAGTTTTATTTATTTGAGGGAGAGAAAGGGAGAGCACGAGTGGGGGAGAGGCAAATAGTGAGAATCCTAAGCAGTCTCCATGCTGCCAACATGGAGCCTGATACAAGGCTCGATCCCACAAACCTAGAGTTCATGACCTGAGCTGAGATCAAGAGTCAGACACTTAACCAAATGAGCCACCCAGGTACCTCTAGCTGATATTTAAAATAAAGCCTGCATTGCACAAAATGGCAAAATTGAACAAGATAGCCTGAAGTGCTGAAATCAAGGATTTTACAACTAAAGTCATTAAGATGGTTCAAAAGAAAAGGTAAATGTTAAATAAGTGAAGACACAAAACCAGGATGGTACCAGGAGCACATTCAGAACCTTTAAATATACCAAATTGTTCAGAACTTTATCCTTAAATGACCCAGAAGTCAGAAAGCCGAGAGTCACGGTAACATAGCTCCGATCCTCCAGACAGGAAAAACACAGCCACTATGCAATGTGAATATCCAGGACGCAGAAAGGAAACCACAAGCATGAGGAGCAAAGTTAAGTAACACCAAGATTGGAGCTCAGGAGCACTAAGCCGGTGCCATGAGTAAGCCACTGTCAACACAGACTTACTGGAAAAAAAATTTTTAATAGAACTAAAAGATACTATTAAGGTTTCAAATACTACAAAAAAAAGAAAAAAAAGAAAAAAACAGTCTGTATCAGGCATTCTAGAGAAAGTCACATTTGAAATGAGATTTTTTTTTTTTTCTGGAAAATCAAACCTAAGCTAAATTAAAAGATTATGTACAGTATCCCTTAAAAAGAAGTCTGGAAGAAAACGTCAAAAGGAAGGTGAAGTAGATGTTAAGGAAAAGAGACATGACGTAAGGAACAGAGGACTGGGAACAGGTGTGGGGGGTCTGGAGTCCTGAGTCCCAGTCCCAACTCTATCACTAAACCATAGTGGGATCCTGGACAACCCATCTGACATCAGTGAATTCATTTATACAACAGGGTGTTCAACTAGTTTTCAAACAGAACCCTTATTTTCAAACAAAATTCTCAGGAAAAAAAAAATAAGTAAAATGGTATGAAAAATACTGAAACATCATCCAGGTAAATAACACCAGCAACAAAAAGGCAACATCCGTAGTCACAATCATCTTGACACAATAAAACCACTGCAAGAATTCTGCCATCTCAAGGAAATTTCCCAGATAATCTGAAAACCTAGAGCTACAAGGTGACTTGTAACACAACTAAAGCAGAGACTGTGGCCTCACGTCTCCCTGTCAGGATGAGCTGACAAGAGGCCACCAGTAGTGACATCTCCAGGCAGAGAGGAAGCCCACGAGGAAGACCTATTATAAACAAAATGATGAAGAAGAATTTCACAGAACAAATTGGATTCTTTCTGAGAGGTCACCCAAGGACCTACTGTATACGAGTCTCCCTTTTAGGTTTGTTTTAAATCTCAACATCAATAGATGACAGACAACCCTTTAAATCCTAAAAATATATATGAACAAGTGTCCCCACAGAAATCTAAATTAGTTCATTATTGCATTAAGTAATAAATAAGAGAGAAGAGCGTCAGCTGTCACAAGCTTTTAAAATCACCCAGTGCCTATCCTTACTGAAGCCAAAGGATTTACCTTTCTGTGGATGGTGGCAAGCAATAACCAGATGCCAACTGGCATCAGGAAGGACAGGAAAAGAAGTTTAAGAAAAGGGACCTCTTTGTTCTTCTTCAATATCACAGTTTACATACTACCACACATTACCAAGTGTTATGGGTTGAACTGTGTCCCAAACAGATATGTTGAAGTCCTAAACCCAGTCCCTCAGAATGTGACCTATTTGGAAACAGGGTCCTAACAGATGTCATCTGTTAAGATGAGGTCAGAGGTGAGCCCCTAATCCATCAGGGCTGGTGTTCTTAGAAGATGGCTATGTGCGAAGACAGACACACAAGGAGGACACCATGGGGCAACAAAGGCAGAGACCAGAACTATGCAGCTGTAAACCAAAAAATAGGTGTTAGCAAACCACCAGAAGCCAGGCAGAGGCAAGGAAGGATTCCCCTACAAGTTTGAGGGAACATGGCCCTGTCAACATACCTTAATTCAGACTTCCCACCTTCAGAATTGCAAAATCGTAAATAAATGTCTGTTGTTTTAAGCCACCCAGTCCTGTGGTATTTTGTTATGGCAGCCTAACAAACTAACCACCTTTTAGGAATTGCTCTCCACCCCCCACAGTGTTAATATCTAAACTCAGGTGTGAAAGCCAGGGCAGAGGGGGCTCATATATTCTTTTTAAGTAAACCTCACTTCTATGGATAGAAATAAAAACAGGTGAGGGAAGGAGGATTTCCATAAAGGATCGTATTCTTCCAGTTGTAAAAAAAAAAAAAAAAAAAAAGTAACAGGAAATACTTCAAACATTATAACAACCAATTAGAAAAAAGAGACATCGTCCATAGGGCACACTTCTTTAACTCCCTAAGGACAGCAGGAAAATAGACCCTATGTGGTGGAAGACCTCTGGTCTCCCTGGTGGCAGATGAGCTCACATCCCAGGTGGCTCCTTTCTGGGCCTCGCTGCCCACATACCTGGTGCACACAGATGTTGCATTTGTCACAGAACACCATCTCATTGCCGTCCTCACCATCAGGTGACTGGCAGACATCACAGACAACATCTTCATCATATTCAATCCCCAGGCCTTCTTCGGTCTCTATGGCATGATTCATATTGTCATAGCATCGCTGTTCAAATTCCTCCAGGACCCTCTCCATGGTGTATTCATCTAACTCAGGCATTCCTGAAGGAAAAATGCCACAAGAACATTTTAATACATCTATATTAATAAACATTACAGTAAGACAGCACTAATGACAGTATTAATATATTTATATTTATAATACATCGTCTTATAACTAAATCCATCCTGAGTGTCCCATTTTCTACTGAAGAAGGCCTCTCAGACTGTTCAAGGAAGGATCTTCAAATTAAAAGGCAGACACAACCTTCCATGCAACAGTTTGTTACCTATGGACAGGTGCTGAAAATGTAGTGTTGTAAGAAGAAAAGCAAAAGATAAATCCCAAAAGGGTTTAAGGATATTAAATACATATATTGTTAGATTATCATTTCATTACATTACAAACCACAAGTAACATGGAAGGGACTTCAAAACCATGACCATATATAAGAGTTCGGGTATTTTCTGAAAAACATTCTTTCTTGCTACTTAAAATGTTGCTCTGAGAACAGATTTCACTGTGAGCACACAAATGTTTTTAACTGGTTTATCCCTCCTCACTCTCTGAATTTACAAAGTTGAGATGCATAGTTAATCAGACACATGAAAGACAGAAACACAAGGAATGTCTGAAGCAAAGGAAACAGCTCATTGTGAATCAAATAAAATGCATTCTTATGCAAGAATGACCAAAAATAAATTTCAAGTGGTTATCATGGTTATAGGAGTGGTGGAAGAAAATAAGTCTTATCTCACTTGTGGAGATATTCCAAACTTCCTACAATGAAAATACTCATGCAGAAAGAAAAAACAGGTTAGACTAAAAATACTCTAAAAGAACATGTAAGTGGCAAGAAAAAACAGAAATGTTATTAGAGCCAGTAACTTTTATGCACTCTTGATAAATATAAAACCATCAAATTAACACTTTAAGTTTTTAAAAATCTGAAGAACACATTAGAGCTGACACTGTGATAAGCTCTAAGCACATTCAAAAAAGTCACCTAGCACCCAGCTATCACCTCATACCCTAATTACTGATAAGTTACTTGCCTGCATGGCCAGGGCACTCATATCTCAATTCCTCCTACCAGTTTTGAAACTACCAGTGGCTTTGAAAATACAATCCTATGCTCCATAATTATTTCTTACCATTACAAAGAACAATAAAAATAAAACAAACATCTTTAAGCATATGTTCAATTTACGTTACAACCACATACATAATCTGCCTTGCCGGAAGTATTCCATACTACCATTCAATCTGATGAGTTAGGCCAGGCTCATTACTTAAACCACCTCCAAAGCCGCCAGGGTCTCTGGCTGTACCCCTCTGCCTTAAGACAGGACACCTAGCCAGTCAAGTGCATTACACTGGTCTTTACACAGCTACTACAAACCACAACTTTATAATCTTTGAAGCTGGAACTGAATGGTATTCTGTCCAAGCGAGCTCTGAACACTTATGAACAGACTGTGTAAAAGAGCCTCCTGGCTTGCTAATACCCTGGCTACTGAAACCTAAAAGCAGGGACCTTTGGAGATGGTGATATACTCTGTCAAACAACTTTCCCAGCTCAGTCTGCACCACTGCTCCCATGCCACAGCCTGGTGAGCAGCATGGCAGCAAAACAACTGGTATGTGCCAGGCCCTGTGCTAGGTTCAGCGACTGACTGATACAACACAAAAACAGTCTTTGTCCCTCAGGGCTTTCAAATCTACCATCGAATACTCTGTAAATTATCTACTGTGTGCCAGACAGCCACCAAACACCTCTCTCCCACCCAGGTCCCACAGCACAAGTTCCAATTAATCCTTGCAGTCTCTCACACAGAGCCCAGACTTGACCTCAGTGGTCCTGCTCATCACAACACTTCAGGAAGCCCTTGGCAATCAGAGGTGGCATGTGAGATGAAACCCATGTGCCATCCTGGTCTTGACACTGGGACGTGCCAGCATATGAGGTACAGAAGCTCCAAGCTGTACACACACACAAAAAGATCAATTTATAGAAAATAAACCATAATGGGCAAAGCGCTCCACTAAGGCGGGGGCTTCACGGAAGGAGAGCCCAGACAGAGGTGAACAGGGAAAGGGAAAAGCACTCCAGGTTTGGAGGACTCAAGGAGAATCACAGAAGTGAGAAACACAAGAGGTGTGTTAGAAAACAGTGAGCCTGGCTAGAGTGGAGTTTAATATGAGAAACAATAGGCCAGAGCTGAGGAAAGGATCTGAATGACATTGCGGTGGGAGGGGGCGGGGAACACAGCAGGAAACTTTGTAGACCAGACCCTCCTGTCATCTTGGGGAAGTCACTTCATTTCTCTGGGCTTCAGTTCCCTTGAGGTAAATAAGTGAGGGGGTGGATCAGGGCAGAGATGGGGAATCCTGCCTCCACACCCACGGACAACATCCCTCATCAATCCCACCACTCTGTCTACCAGCCGCCCACAGACATGTGCCATAGCCAGACAAGCTGATCTCCAAAAAAGAGCCCACGATTCTGAGACTAAAGCTATGATGAAGCTGCCTTCACCAGGATATGAGCTTCTACTACTCACCCAGATGTCTAAAATTCTTCTCTATTCATCATTCATTAATAAAACAATACAACCCATGGTCTCTCACCCATCTCCTTAAATTCCTCATTGGTCAGTTCCAGCCATGCAGCATCCATGTCGTTGAGGTCGTAACGACACACACTGTCAGCCAGCGTCCGGATATCAACATAGCCCAACTCTGGAGGCTCGGAGCCCGGTGAGACAATGTATTTCTTGGGCCTGATGAACATGAGGGATTTCTCTTCAGACACGACCCTAGTTAACAAGAAAACAAGGCAGCCACGTTACCCTTCCTGCCACATGAAAGGAATTCATCACAAGGCCCAAAGCTTGCTTCCACTTCCAACGCCCTAAACCCCAGGTTCTCACCAGACAAACTGGCTTAAAACGTCACTGCTAATTAACATCACTGTTAATAAAACTAAGTAGAAGTATCATTTAAGCCCCCAAAATGGAAAAAGATACAAGTGAAAAAACACTAAAAAGTCCTCAAAACCAGCTTTACCAGCTTTTTCCAACTGGCTTCCCAGGATCCCACATGCCCTGAGCCTTCATCTAGGACAGCAGTTGCTCTGCTGGCAACACCTCAACACCAACCTAACTTGCGAGAGTTTAGGATAAAATCACTTTCCACCAATCAGGCCTGACCACCCTGCTGAAGGCCCAGCACTAGGTTCAGGCAGGACAATGCATGGCAGAACACCGCAGAGCCAAGGGGACAAACCCATCACCTCTAATCTTAAAAATAAAACTAGCCCTTGTCCATTACTAATCAGTCTAAGAATCTAAGAGGCCTAGCCAAGTGGGGGACTCTCCCAACATACACTCAGGATCTCCTTATAACTGCCAACCTCCCCCAACCTGTCAACACCCACAGAAGAGCTTTCCACCATACCCCACTCAAAAGAAATGACACAAGACCCAATCACCCCCAACATGGAATGAAGGGCCTTCTCTTCCTAAAGACAAAGGCCCAGCATCAGAGCTCCACACGCCCACCACATCAGCAGTTTGTGTCAGCATCAACAAGCTGTCCAAGGAGTGTCCAAAGTATTTTCATCAACCTTACAATTACCAGAGCGATTTTATCTATGTGACACTCAGGCAAACCAAAGGTGGTTATTTCTCCTACTCAACTAAGAGCAAGGTTTTAACTAAAAACTCCAGAAGCTGTGGTACCACATACTTCTCTGATGCTGGGCTCCTCTATCCACGCCCCCCTCCGCCCCCCCAAAAAAAAAGATTCATAGAGGAATTCCTGAATTCCTGGATTGGGACTGCCAGCACTCAAACAGTCGGGATTGTGCCCCAGATGCAGATTCTAAGGCAAATGCAGTGTTTATCTTGCAGAGCCCAGTTTAACATTCCACTCCACAGGCTAGAAGTCCAGCCTACAGGGGTATCTGATTGGTCATTTAAGCCTGCATATTTATGTGGACATTTGTCACAGATCCAAAACAATGATCATCAGCAACAGTGAATGAGTCCACTTCACAAGGCAGGCAGCTGAGTGACAACACAGCAGAGAAACCAGGTGCTAGTTGGGAGCAGAAGCCCTGAATCCTCTCTCCCTGTGAGGAACCTCCAGTCAGCTGAGCAAGACAGCGAAGAAGAAATGAGCAAACTGGTCCTTTATGCAGAGGGAAGTCATCAAGGACCCGGACCCTCAACACCCTTAAGGGGAAAAGTACTTTGTAAGCAAATCCAAAGGAAGCCCAGCAAGAACAACTGGGCAAAGTCCAGCCATAGGAGAATTCATCAAATACAGCCCTCCCCTTAAGCTCCCCTTCCACCTAACCCTGACCTGGCAGGCCTCCTCTCCAGAGGTGCAGTCAATCCCCACAATATCCAAGAAGCCGGGCCCTCACTCCTCTCCAGAGTGAAGAGGATCTGCAGGTAGGTGAGGGACAAGTGGAGGAATAAAAGTTTTCCCTCCCCCAGTCAGTTCCCAAAATGTCTTGGAATCTGCCCTCCTCTCATGAAAGTGCAGCCAGCACCTTCCCAAGACAGCTGGAATGTGTAGTCTGGAGGCCCATGGTCCTCAAAAATCACTACTCTATGGACCTGAAATGTGTTTCTACACATTTCTATTGCCACTTGAGGCCTCATCATTTCACTAACTGAAACACTGCTCTTCTCAGGCACCTGGATGTCAGGGCAGAAAAGCAACGGCAGGTGGAGAGGCACGTCTACCTGGCCACAGGCTGAGGGATGGTCCCAGGGCTCACGGGCACCTGGACTCCTTTCTCCCACTCCTGTCTCCAGGGATCTGCCAACACATAGTACTCATCTGGGTTCAGCTGATAGGAGTCATGCAACTTCATAGCGGTGATCAGGTCTGTCCTAAACACCTGGAAAGAGAGAAAGGGTCACTGACATTTGATACTTGCATTTTTATTCAGAGTGCTGGCAGCTGCAGGGTAACCATGGAGCTGCTGCGTAGTAAGGTCACTGTATCAGCAGAGACCCAGTCTGACCGACGACCGGAAGCCCTCAGTGGGCCACAGCCTTGGCCTCTCAGGCTTGGGGGCAGCACGGCTCACACTACCCTCTCACTTCCTCATCAACTGCACAAGCCTGAGGTGTCTCTGACAAGCAACAGAGAAACCTCGTTGTCCTCCCCTGAGAAATCTCATGAACTCTCAATTCCAAAGACTGCTGCTGAAAACACACACCTAAAAATCTGTGGAAGGAGGCATTTCACTCAAGGGTGCTCTTTTGGTAGATGTTTAAGAAATAAAACTCCACTAACCACTTAACACTTCAAGCCAAAACCTAGAACCACCAGGGCCTCCTCTTCTATACTCAGACTGCAGCCACCCAGCTCCTGCCTCCCAGGACACTAGGGCTTATGGCAAGGTGGCTGGGGAGTCAGGCCCTGGTTGGCAGGTGCCAACGCAGAAGTACAGGCTAGAAAAATATGGGAGAGAATTGGGGACAGACCAATGGGGTCAAGTCAGAAAGGGGGCTTGTAAAGAACATGTTTACACACCTTTACCTGATGTAACTTCTACAAAGGAAGCAACATTAGTGGGGAAAGCAGAGGAGGGAAGGAGAGTAAAAGAAAGAAGCAAGCAAGCTACTATACTCTCTCTTCACCTGGCCAAAATCAGACCCACAAAACTCAAAAGTATCGCTGTACTGAGGGAGCAAAGTGGCACCGGCATGCCCGCTCCTCCTGACTGGGGACACGGCAGGAGCACAGCCACGGCCTCGTCCTCCATCCTCAGTCCACTGGTGTCTCAGGGCTACATAAGGAAGCTCCAACCCTGGCATCAGCACCAGCCCAAAGTTGTATTTGGCACGAAGCAAGCCTGCATCCGTAAGCTACACTCTGTTTACACAAGTCACAATGCTGAACTCTCTCTTCCTGGGACAGTGAGTTCTTTCTTATGCTGCTAAGCACAGTTCACATTATATGCCTGCTAATAGGTCCATTTGTTTTTCCTGGTGGCTTTTCAAACTGGTGATCACTTTAATAAACTTCACCATAGTCAGACCACCGTCTGAGGCAGTGTCTGAATAAAAAGGCCATTTCTCCAGGCTGCCATCTCTCAACACCGACTTTTCACCAGTATGCCATTTCTTGTTTCTAACGTTCCAGAAAAAAGGAAGAACCTGGCTGTGCAGCCTCCACAAAAGCACAACTAAGATCAGGTTCCCTGACAGCCCTGAGCCACCTGACGCACTGGTCTGCACAGGACCTTGATCATCCGTGCCCTCCTCACCCCCAAAGAGGAAAAGTCCTTGAAAACAAAAATCACAGGAAGCAAGTCAGTTAAAACACACATTCCAACTACAACTTACAAGTAATAAATAAGGGAGTTTGCCAAAGAAGGAAAAATCAAACTGAAGCAACAGGATGAGAACAGGATGGCCCACCATTCCTTTACTAAAAGACTCAGAGGAGGACGCCAAAAACTGAAAGAGATGCCCTAAATGAATTTCCAAGCCTCTGGCAGAGTTCAGAGTTAGTGCTAACCTAAATATAAAGTAGTCTGAACTAACTGCTGAACTCAGAGAACTTTAGAAAAAAAATCAGAAACAAAACCGGGGTCAGGGACAAGACCAGTGCCATCCATGCTGCTCAGCCCCATCTCACTGCCTGGTGCTCAGCACACCCAGTACCACCTTCCCTATTCGAGTCACCCTGTATTTTTACCCTCAAGTGACAGTACAGTGGTTGTGGAGGCAGCACAGAGAATTGAAGAAATAAAGGCAGGCAGAGCCACTCCAATACCTCAGAAAAGGAGGGGAGCACTGCAGGTTCAAAATGACAAAGGCCTGGAATAATCAAGGCAATAAAATGGCCACCTGCCCATGAAGGTTTGATCTAATGTCTCCTGGGATGACTTTCTGCAATTTTAAAGGATATAAAGTACATTTCCTCATGGAGAATGTTATTCCACAACTAAAAATTCCTACACTGCTCAACACAGTGTCCCCCAACACTTCCATTACAGTCAGAGAAAATGAAGTACCTGGTGGAATGCAGGCCTCTGCTCTGAAGCTACAGGATGAGGTGGTCTTTGGAGTCATCCCGTGAAAGACGCAGCACAAAACAAGGGGCTGAACCAAAGGCTCTCTTCCCCACAACCTGCCCACCTGAAAACCGTGACAAACTAAAATGCCCTTTCTTCAATCATTTAAATCCTCAGAGCCTGGCAGAGGTTGTCAAAGAAAACATATCTCAGGACTGGTAGAAGGCCCTAATCAACAAAGGCCAGCAGAGAAATGCACCTAAAAGCAATTGTAAATAAAGAGACAATAGAGAACAGGTAGGTAGGTAGGTAGGTAGGTAGGTAGGTAGGCAGACAGATAACAAAACGTGGGGGAGTAGGGAAATAGAAGAAACAAATTGAAAAAGAAGGGGGAAAAGCCTTAAGCGTAATCGCCAAAACAAAACTCCCAGAATTACAATGGGTTGTTGCCAAATAAGCCACAAATTCATGGCCAAAACTAACTTGAGGCTGGCAGTGACTGGCAGCAGCCGAACCCGCTGATCTCCTGGCCAGAGGAAAAGTTGTTGGGAGCCAGCGAAGATGAAACAGAAAAGGAAAAAAAGAATATAATTAATAGTAATAGCTAACATTTACTACTGAGCACTTTTAAGTGCTTAGTATGTATTAATGTCTGTGTATTAACCCACTTAATCCTCACAAGAATCCTCTGAGGCAATCACCTGTGTTATCCCCATCTTACAAATTTGGAAACTGAGGCACAAAGAAGTTAGATAACTTGCCCATGATTGCAGAGGCATCAATTTCAACCAACCAGGTGTGTGCCAATCACATGTTCTCATGCACACATGCAGGACATGCACAATCACACCATCACTCAGGAAATACCTCTGAAGGTTTTCGATCTTCATGTCTGGAGCACGAACCTCTCCTGTGCTGAGATCGGGAATTCTGTGACCAAGTAGTTGAGAGGCCTAAAGACAAATAAATATCCAAAGAGGAACAATTAAGAGCACACAAATCACTGTGCGTTCACAGGGTTTTTTTAAACCAAATTTGGCAAGGCTCACCTCAGCACCTCCCCCATGACTCAATGCTCCTCCAATCCCAGGACTTACTTAAACCACTCACTTTCCAGAGCAGGCCTAACAAGCTTGCTCTGGTTCTCACTGTGTATCCCAGGTACAGCCCACAGGAGGGAAGGCCTTTTAAGAGCATCATGCATGTGGAGCCTTCATCTGTAAGCCTGCATTTCTTATAAGGTTCAAAGTCTCACGTTGGTAAATACAAATTGAGAAACATTGGAGTTTTCAGTAAACTTTTCTAAATGCTAAGATCATTATGTTCAATCCTAATGCCACCCCGCCAAAACTTAAAAAGAAAAAACCTTGACTCCACAAATATAAAAACTTAGCATGCCCTAGAACAGGAAAGTTCCAAGACTGCAATAGACTAGGGGCTATGGCCAAATAACCTTAAAATTGCCTACTCCCCTTTCCCAAGAAAAGGCCAACTGGCTCTTTTCTGTGCATTTCTTCCACATTTCTAAATAACTAATGGTCTGTTATCCAGCATCTCCCCCACCAAGCCACAAAATCTGGAAACCCTACCAGGGCACCCATGTCTCCTAACTGCCGCCATGTCTGAGTTCCTCTCAGGCCTGAAGACCTCTCTATAGCAACAACTCCATCCTGCTTCAGATGCTCCCTCCACCCAGGTGGCAATTCTCTTGCCTGGTGTCCACTTTGTCTCCTATGCATCCCGTAAATGTTAGTGTTCCTCCTTCCTGTTCCGAGTGCTCTCCCCAAGGAGCACTCACCCCTGCCCTCTCACTCAGTGTTAGCCAGTGCGCCCAGGAAACTGTCAGACTTGCATTCCCACACTCACCTCCGTCCCAAGCTCCAGGTCCACGTTCACCTTCAGATAAGACATAAAGCTCCGGGTTCCTTAGATCAGCCAACTCAGCGCGACAAAAACTGGACTCAACATTTTGCCCAAACCTCTTATTCCTCTTGTGTTTCTACTTTGATGAATACCACTATCATTTCTATTAGAATTCAGAAACCTAAGAGTCATCCTAGACTCTCCTCACTCAGGACACATCCAATCAATGGCCAACTTATATTCAATGCAACTACCCAATACCTCAGAATCCCAGCCTCTTTTCTCACCACCTCCACCTCTGCCTCCTGTCACTTGTTTTATGGTCAACTGCAGTGGCCTCCTGTTTGTGGGTACCATATCACCACCAGAGCTCCCAAACATCCCTCACAACCACCTGCAGTGGGTGTCTAACTACCTACTCACCTCTACCCTGAACACACACTGTACTGTTTCCCAGAAATTAACAACCCCCCTACCCTGCAAATAAAAGCCCGAGCCTGAGGGAGTTGCATTCTACCAGCAAAACCACTTGCCACTCAAACAGGAAGCTCTTATCTCCATGGATTCCAGAGACAAGGAACAAGAGAATCAAAGCACCCTTAAGACCTTGGAGACATCAAGAAATAGATTCTGTACATAAGCCTATCATCAGATTTGCAATGACCAAAACTAAACGAGATTTCCAAACTCCTCTCTGACAGGGAAGATGTGGGCACTACCCCTGATCACCAGTTCTGAAGGCTGCTACTGGGTCAACTGACTGTTGTTAGGTTAGCAGAATTAGATTTCCTACAGGTGGTCCTACCATACTGTTCAGTAAATATTTTAGAAAAACTCTTCCTTAAAAAAAAAAAAGTACACCTCTTTAGACTCCAATGAGTAAGAATGTTTCACTCCCACACTGAAAGAAAGATTCTGGGCACAAACAGGGGTGCGAACCCAACTTGCAGAAGTTCTAAATCTGGTCATCAGTGGAAAAAGGAAAGGCAGAAGCCAAGTGAGGAACCTGGAGAGAAAGGCAGGTGGCTCCCATCGTTAAGCCCCTTTTCACCATCTGGTACTGCAGGCCACCCTCTGGCCAGCCCACAGGCTGGAAGAGACAAGGAAGAGTGATAGCAACTCTAGGAAGATGCTCAGGGGTTGGAGAAAGATGCAGGGAAGAAAAGGCATAGGCCCTTTCCTTTGAGTTACTACGAGAAGGGTTACAAATGATAAGAAAACTAGAAATTTTAAAAGAAATCACTCCACTGCTATACTTTAAAAATGAACATGGAGTGAGGGGAAGTGAGTCTTACAGTCAAATACTTACACAGTTAAAGCAGAAACGGCAAACTTGCTCAATTTTAGTTTTTGTGACACTCTTGCCTCTTCTAGGGGATCTGTCAGAGTCCCTCCCAGGTAGTTTCCAAGGTTCCCAGGAAGTGTACAGCTTTACTAGCCAAGAACACACTCCAAGTAATGGCAGTCACTTAGACATTTTTCTAGGGCTGTTTCTATATTCTTGAAAAAAATAGTCTGTGCCACATTTGCTTTCAAAATCATGTACCCAAAGATGCTACAAAATTGGGTATCTGATAGTATTATTATCCAAGAGAAACTCTGGTCTACCCAGAAATAATCTGTTTCTCTTCCTTTTAATTTACCTAATGAAAGAAGAAGAGAAAACATAATCTATTACAAGCACTTTGCAGAAAGGGAAAGACTAGGGAAAAGGTAAAATTTCAATTATAACTGACAAACTGGAGGTTTATAAATAAAAGTCAAAAACCAGTAATCAACCAAGTATCTACCAACAAAGTAAATGAGTGAACAGTGGTATCCATACAATTTATTATCCAAATTACGGTATATCCATACAATGGAGTATTACCCAGCAATAAAAAAAAAATGAGATGTTGATACATGTAACATGAATTAACTTTGGAATAAATGTAGAATGAACGAATCCAGACAAAAAGAGTACATACTGCATTATTCCATTTACATAAAACTCTGGAAGACAGAAACTAATCTGTAAAAACAGAAAGTAGATCAGAGGTTGACTAGGGAAAAAAGAGGGAAGGATTATCTTGAGTGTAATGATTTCAAGGGTATAAACATTTCAAAATGTATCAAAGTGTATACTTTAAATGTATGCACAAAAAAAAGGGATGATTTTCTATCATCCAGTAACAGTAAAGGAAAAGATAATGCTCCATTTTACTTTACACAGGTGGTTGTACATAAAACCTAGATTTCCCTGCTGAACCAGGTGAGAATCTGACGAGGGAACTAGAAGGCCCTTCCATGTCCAGCAGCGGTATTTGTTCCTGGTGATCTCTGTCTGGTTTATTTGCTTTCAAGCACTGTGTCAAGAGACATCAGGGACAAGACACAGATGGCTATTTACAACATACACCACACCTAAGTTGGTGTTGTGCACACAGCAGATTCTCAAAAAAATTTTAAGAGGAAAAAAATATAGTGTTGCTGAGGACAAACAGTCATGCTCAGTAAGAATCACCACCACTGTTAACTCAAGAACTGAAGGTGACAAGCACCAAGAATATACCCATTTTACCTATTAGAAGATACACTTTAAAAAAGAAAAAAAAAGATGCTTTTGTGCTCTAGGAAAACGAGGTCATGGAAAATAATACATTTAAAGACAGCTTAGTGGGGCCACTGCTTCCTGATGGGAATGCACTGACATCTACATTCACAGAAAGTCTACAGGCAAAAGATTAAAGTCTTATAATATCACACCACTTCTCCCTACAGCCATGCTCTCTCCAGGCATCTCCCACGTGGTCAAGAAGCTCCCAGAATATTATCCAAACAAAATAATTTTTGCATCCCCTTTAAATTAAAAAAAAAAAAAAAAGTTATGTAGTGGGGGGAGCTTGGGTGACTCAGTCAGTTAAGCATCTAACTCTTGATTTTGGCTCAGGTCAAGATCTCACGTTTGTGAGATCAAGCCGAAAGTCAGGCTCACTGCGCTGTCACTGCAGAGCCTGCTTGGGATTCTGTCTCCCTCTCTCTCTGCCCCTCCCCTACTCACGTGACTGTCTCTCAAAATAAGTAAATAAGCATTTTTTTAACGTTAAAAAAAAAAAGGTTATAAAGCTTTTTTTTGAAAGTATGTTGGGTGAAAACAAACAAAACAAATTAAACCAGAATTGAGAGTATTTCAAATACCACAAGGAACAGGAGATAGTGACGTGTGCTACAGCAAAACACTAGCCAATTTTAAGTTCTTAAAAACCAGGCACTACGATTACACTTGGTTGGTGCTGCATTTTGTTTTTATTTTCAGAATGTTAATAACATTTAATGGCAAACAGCTAAAACTATACCAAGTAAAATTCTTTTTTATTTTGTTACTTTCAGGAGAGGAGCTGGGAACTCTAAAAATTTGACAGTGATGTCTAAAAAATTATTTTATTGCCCACAAAGATAGGATTACCTAAAGTCGACCTAAGTGAATTTAAAAATTCTGCACATGTACACAGTTTAAGAACAATTCTCTATTAAAAAAAAAAACAATTCTTATTAAACACTGAAAAGAATGAATAGAGAGAAAATATCTTGTTTTGTTTTCGTATCCCCAAACTCCCATTAAAACAGAAGTTTGTGGAGTTTAACAATACAAGTTATAAAAGGTTCATAGATCACAGCATCATGAGCATGGATCTTGTACATGCACAGAGCATTCTGAATCCTGCTTTCTGGTCCTACTAGGCAGGTATCTCGAACACTCGCCTTTGAAATTAAAAATAGCCATGCTTCTTGCCCTAGATCTAAAATAAGGAAAAACCTCAAGAGTAAATCTACTACACACTGCCCACATTGGTAACTCATGTGTGATAAGCCAGGGTGCATAGTGCATGAAAGGTTCAGAAATTACAATGAATGGTGGTCTGGGTTCATACCACCACAAAATGCAAACTGTGAGGGAACCTCATCACTATTAAATGGCAATCTTCTGTCTCAAACACTACTTCTAGACACCAAATACCACACTGGTGTCTTCAGGATGTTAAACCAGCCTAACAAAGTAAGGCACTTAGGACCAGCAAGTATTAAGTCTAGCAGGCCAGCTGGTGTCACA